TAGTAATACATTAAGTTTTTAATACATCAAGTTTTTAATTATTTTTTAATTTTATATACTTTTATGTATTACGTCCCAACTTTTCGTGATAACGATGTCTATCCCCAGCTCTTCGCAACCATTCGGCAAATTTATTTTTTAAGCTGCACAAAGTAGCCGAAACATACATGTTTGAAATAGTTCCTGAAATAGAAATATTTTTTATAAGAACATATATTTAAAAAATTATTTTTTAACATTAAACAAAATTTATTAATTGACAATTACCCATGATGACATGTACAAAAGTCGTGTCTTTAATTCCTTCTGTTTTACGTTGATCCCAAGTTAATAGCTTGGCAAGCTGGTTGGTGAGAGTGGTAACGAGACAGCTGACCAAATGATTTTCAGCAGATTTACCACCTATTATACGAATCTTCTGCTGCTGCAAGAATATCAAATCCAAAATATTACTTTAAAAATATGTTTATCCTTTTACTAATAATACTCTTTACTAATAATTTATTAGTAATTTTCAACTTACAAATTGATTTCGTAGTACTTCGTCCTCCTTTAAATCAATACAAAATTTTTTAAAGACTTCCATTGAATTTAATGGAAAGTCAGGCAACAAATTAAAAGAATATACTAATAGCAGAGTTTATAAAGCCTTGTGTCTGTCCACGATAATATTAGAAAATTTAGTATCATATGGGCGCATCAGCGTTAAGCTAGCTTAATATATAATTTATCAAATTTGGAGTTAAATTTCTAAATACACAGCTGATTCAGAGTAATTATACATATATACTTACTTTGATAATTTTCAAGTGCTTTTTGCAAAATTTTAGCGTGGCTCTCAATTGCTCTTCTCGCAGTTTTATTGAGAGTCGAACAGTTAAACTGTAAAATTACCATGACATTATTTTTTTTAATACACTTGGATCGTTTCGGAGCAACACAGCTGAGGCTGTATTCTGTACACACTATCGACAATTGTTGGTGTCGTTGCGCTTTTCTTATAATAAAAAAGCTGCGCAACGACACCGACAATCGTCGGTAGCGTGTATAACAGAATAGGGGCCCTGCTAGTTAACTATATATTGTATATATAAACTTGAAACATTTATCTATAGTTATAGGAGCCGATAGTATTTATCGGTTCCTAACCTATGAGATAGTCCATAAATGTAATATTATGGAAATATTTACTGGACGAAATTGATCGTCATCCATGGTTTCCAAAACACTTCACCAGATCAGATATTTCCCAAGTTGCTTGAAACCACTTAGCTTGATTGTGTTATAATCACAGTACTCTATACAATTATTATAATAATAGCAAGACAATGCCATTTCGCAG